TACCATCATACAAATTTTGTAGCTTTTTCCTGAAGATGATAATACATTTTATCGAAATATTGGAATAACTTGTGTTATAAGAGTACACTTCCGTTTTGCTGATCACCCAAAGAAAATTCCCAAGTTTTGTAATTTCAATTATCAAGGTTTTTGATGCTTTGTCTCTTTCATGTTTTCCGTTTCAACATTCTTTCAATATTTCTTTTGCTGTTATCGTAAATTTTTCCCATTTATCTATAGCGATTTTATTTATTGTTATTATTATTTGGTGTTTTTTTTCTGTAAATCTGTAGTTTTTCATATTTTTTTCTTATCTTTCATATCGTCTTTCCAGTTTTTTTATTCGTATTCCTATGATTTGTGCACTTTCTATTTTCATTAGGACCCTAACGTATTTTGAATCTCGATTTGACTTATCTAATCTTGCAGTGATTTCTGTGTAGTTTTCTAATTTCTTTGGCATTCAAGGTCTTTTCATATCATATTCATCAATAAAACTGATACCCCGACAAAACGGCATTATTAACACATATGCCTTATTACATTTGAGATCAATGCGATAAATCTTGAAATGTCCAATCTGGCAGAAATACCCAGTTAAACGCCCGTTGGTCTCGAGTATACATTTCATAGAAAACGGATCCGTGAGGCTAGAAGCATGGCCTTGGGATTCCAATTATTAAAAGACATTATTACTTATCTGCTGTTACTTTAATGGAACTCGAGCATATTTCCGGTGTTTAATTTGCGTGACCATAACTACACGAAATGATTGTTTTTTTTGTATTTCACGTATGACTATTACACAAAGTTTACCGAATGTATATTTGCTCAAGCTTAAGGAATGTTGAGTTACGAAACCGAAAAGCAGTGGGACGACTTCTTCGTTAACAAGAGTACGGGGGTTGACACTAACGAATGACAAGAAACAATTCGATATCGGTAATACAATAGCTCCAACAAGAATGTTCAATGAATGTCTCATATTGTGCAACAGACTGGAGCTGGTGTTGAACATTATTTAAAATGTATTGCAATATTTCTTTCGTGGTATTAGTGCCACATTTTATAACATTACATTTGAATCAGGACTAAGTAAAACCATTATTGAACTATCCCACATCTGAGAAACTAAATATTTGTATCTACAGAATGACATTGATTATATTTATCAGTGGTGTGATTAGTGATAATCATCACCAATTGACTCATTTCAAATGTTATTTCATATTGTAAGAAGTATGAGACTATAATTTATATATCGTTGTTTTAATAAAATAGTCTTGAAAAATAAATATCAGAGAAAAGCAAAAAAAAAATTATACAATAATCATTTAATTTGTGAGAATTTGTTGTGCAAAAAAATGTAGTACTTTGCAACGATCTAGAGGCGAAGATGGTGTGGCTACCTGAGTGGCCGCCACTTATCCTACGAGTCGCTGTTGAATAATTGATAGTGATAATATAACCTAAACTAGGTTAGGAAGTTGAAGAGAACTGGCGTAGGCTAATTTCCTCAAGTATATGCAATCCAGCATAGTCAGGTATAGAACTTCGCTATATCAAGGAAATATAGACATTTTTGTGTATGCAATCTGTGTGGCCAGTTTACCCCTAAATTTTGTTGAAACCCATTTTTCCCACATTTTTCCTGTGTCACGTGTCAGAATTTCAATTCAATCTGTCAACATTATGACAGTTTTTCCTGCAGCATGAAGGATATCTATGAGACTATTCTGGAAGGGATTCATTAGGGCTCCTATACTAGAGAACTACCATTGCACATGGATCTTCCTGGGAAGAGAAAGGGCAAACTTCTAGTTTACCCCATAAGTTACTGAGTAAATTCAATACACTTTTCACAAAGGAAAATGTGCTATTTATTAGTAACTTGTATTTTCTACTTTCGCCTATTGAAAAATGTTACTCATCTTGAAGTTTCGAAGGCCCAAATCTACCTTCGTCATCAGAATTGAAAAATTCAACTATAACTGGCAGTTTTTCTTTGGTTCGATTTATTCAGAAACTTCCTCAACAGTCGTCAAATGAGTTTGTATATTTGAAATATGTCAATATTGATGATTAACTTTTAACACAATATATATAGTACAAGATTTTCTCTGTTTCAGTGTTGCCACTTTTCATGTCTTTCGTCTCATATCTCCAAATGTAATATGTGGAAAGTGATAATTTCTAGAAAGACCGATAGAAAAACTTTGATTTCCTTCACAAAAATGGATTTTATTCAATCGTACATACAAGTTTTCACCTCTTCACCACTCCTCGATTCTCTTGTTCTTGCAGAATATGACAATCCTACGTTCGTCTGACATTTATTGGTCTGGTTATCGTACCAGATAGCGAAGAATTGTGTAGCAGGTAGTAGTTTTTGGCGCGGCCGGTCTCGATGGAGACAGGTTGACATTTTATCACCCTCCCACGAGATTTCGAATTTAACACGTTCCGCTAAAATTGCTCCATAAAGTGAAATCTTTAAAGTGAGTCTTTATTTCGTTTTCTCCCAGAAACATCGACGTGAGGACCGTAAACGGTTCGAATTGCGATAGGAAATGGAACTCGGGCATTGAAATAGTCATTTCGCACGAATAAGAGCAATTAAATGAATAGCTTCATTTTGTTTGAGGGTTCGAAAAGTAACGATTTCTCAAGGCTATTCGATCTTACACTTCATTAAAAATGTCATGGTATACGGAGGACGGTATCAAATGTAGCGATATTACAGGTGTAGGTACTGCAAATTTCACAATTTTAGCAATTTGTAACATATATTTTTTATATATTCTCGTTTAAGCCATAATTAAACCGCAATTTCAACATCTATAATCAAAATGGTCCTCCGGGATAATCGGCTCCAAAAGTTTATGCAATGGAGCTCTGCAAACGCGTAGGTATCGCATATTTTATATCATCTCCGAAACGAAACTGCAGTAGCGATGGTTACAAATAAAAGTAGTGAAAAGCATAGAAAGTTTCATTTGTCATTTTTCATAATTCAACCTACTTAATCTGTGATCACTTGAAAGTACCTAAAAAATTAGAAACATTTTATTTGAATTTTAGATTTATCGCTAATTGAATATAATTTATCTTCATGGATGATAATAATAGTAACTTTTGATTTTCATACATTATTTTGTAATATATCTAGTCATTAAAAACAATCAAAATTCAGAGCGTTAGGTCTATGTTATTGCATTATTTGTAAAACAGATTGTACTTCTTAACCAACGGTAGTTTCCATTACCTTTATCAAGTTCCTTCTTAGATTTGACAAGCTGTATATCAGTGAAATACATTACTTCTTCAAAACTGACACTAATCTCCTTCAAGGCTCACTGGATGTCGATTTAATAAACCCCATATATCATTAAAATGATTACTGGAGGTGGCCAGAATAGAATCAAAGATGTTTCTATCAGTAAGAAAAAGAAACATCCAATGGAAATCAATTCTTCATTCCTGAAATACCAAAAACAAAAAAAACTCGCACCTCGCTGCGAAAAAACAATTGGACAAAGAAACGCGGCTTATCTAGAACAACAACTTTTTCAGACGATATTCGTTTCAATAAAAAATATAAACAACAAAAAATTATTCAATAAAACGAAAAGAACTTGGATTTTGGAACCGAGATCGACTTTTGAAATTTTTGTTACACAAAATATTCCATGCTGAACTTACATTTGGAACATTTCTGGTTTTCTGTGAAGTTGAATTAGTAATGACTCAATCAAATATTATTTTATATTTTTCAATACTGAATTACCTACTTTCTCACTCTTTGTAAGTTGTTGAGATACTCCTAGTAATAATTCTTAACAAGCGTAACTTAACTAGCAGTAAATTTTTTGTAACCGCTTCTGTGATGTTTTTGTTTATTAGCCTTCTATTACACTATTTCTGCATTAATTGTTTTACGATTAGGCCAATACACATTATCATTATTATTATAAGTAGATGGATTTTTTGTATTTCTTTATTGATTTTCTAATTATTTTGTCCTATGTATTTTTTTAAGGGAGAAGGAAATATAAAGAGCAGATAGGTTTTGGTTCACAGATGGATCAAAAACACCTTCCGGTTCTGGTACAGATGTTTTCAGTCGCAGACCCAGGACACAGATATAAACCTGCCTAGGAACCTGAACGACTGTATTTCATGCGGAAATTTACGCTGTTGAATTGTGTGCGGAGAGATTGGAAGAATCCAACCTCATACACAAGTCAATGAAAATATTCTCGGACAGTCAAGGGGCGTTGGAGAACGCTCTTGGCTCCTACCGACAACGACTAAATTGGTAGCAAATTGCCAAAAACGACTCTCCTCGATAGCAAGACTTAACAGATTGTCTCTAGTGTGGATTCCGGCCATACTGGCCTGGAGGGCAATGAGGCTGCTGACTCCCTTGCAAAGGAGGGTGCTGCAAACAGCTTCATCGGACCAGAACCTGTCATTGGCATTGCTTTAGGCTTTGCCAAACAAAATTGAACACCTGGATGGCGAAAAGATTCTTGGACTTTTGGCAGAATCTCCAAGATTGGCTCACTCCAAGGCCTTTATTTACCCTTCGAAGCTTGATACCAAACAGTTGTTGGTACAGTAAAGATAAACTACGATGTCTAACAGGCCTTCTTACAGGTCACTTTTATTTGAATCATCATATGCAGAAACTCTGACTGTCGAAAGACAGTGTGTGTCTCCTCTGTTTGCAAAATGATGAAACATGATTAGGTCCCGCCGGGGACCTAATCAGGTTTTCAGAGTTCGGCAGAGCCGTACTCTTACCATCTGACCTGAAAGACCATACAAACTAATCGACTTAGTTAAAAAGCTGAGTTTATTTGGTCGAGTGTGAATAGGTGTGAGCCATAATAAACCCTTACGAGTTGCGGACCACTTTGGACCTAACCTATGTATTTTATGCTATTTATTTCAACACGAATTTGTTTCATATTAATATATCTTTATTTTTGTTGCAGTAGGCGGCATGTCGCGGCCACCGAAGCCAGCGGCAACCGCAAAAAAAGTCGCTCCACCTGCGGTGCCGCATGAATTTCGGCATTCGGGAAGCTCTTTCGGATCAGCAGGATACGCCAGCTCGGAGGACGCTGGATTTTTGGCTCCCTCCGACCCACCTGGAGTACCCAGAGGTTAGTACCGATTTTCAATCAGAGGTTACTCAACAGTTGTTTATCTATTCGAAACGATTTCTGTTTTGTGCTAATTTCCATTTTAGTCAGTGTGAAATTCTATTAAAGCGAAAAAGGGCCATATATTTTTTTGATTTATTTTTTGGAAACTACGACTTTAAACTTGAAATTTCGACTTGCCGAAATACAAATACATGGAAGCTATGATTACATACGACGTTTATAAGAACATTATGTCGTTGTGTCTTTACATGCAATTGTTATCCTTGGGGCCTTTGGTGTAAACTAAATATTTTATTTGCTATAGTACTACCTTCCCATATTAAATGTAATTTAGAATGAAAGAAAGCGTAGTATGAATTTCACTAGTTCGGACTTCCATTGTCTACTATATAAACTATATAACAGAGATTCAGCTACTCAAAACTTGTCTAGCTTTTTACTTTCCTTAATACAACCATTACAAGGACAAACATCGTCTTTTGTGAAGAATTCAAGGCATTTTGTCGAACTACTAGGGTCAATTGAGGTCACACAGGAAGATCAACTAATTAGTTTCGACGTGGAAAGCCTTTACACCAACGTTCCGGTCGAAGAAGCACTCCAAATCATACAGAGAAAGCTATCCATTATTCATTTTCAATTCTTCTTTTTTAGTTGTTTCAGGGATTTCAAATCATTTTATATAGTAGACAATGGAAGTCCGAACTAGTGAAATTCATCATGAAACATTGTCAATCACCTTCAAACAAAAGCGTAGTATAACGTCAATTAACGCCTGTTCAGAGAATGTTTATCAAAATTTGAATAATATATTTTGAGGTGTGCTTTTCTGTGTTTCCCCGAGATGACATCGTTACATCGATTCGAGAGGCAATCCACGTGTGAATGATTTAAGTCAGACATACTCTTACAATCAGGTGTCACATACTGTGACACTTGATTCTGTGACTGTGTCAGATATGTAAGCTGACTCACTGACTGACCAGCTCAATTCATTGGGGATTATTGTCAGCAAACTATAGAAACCACATTTCTTCGAGATTCAACTCAGGCTATTTTTTTGAAAATTATCTCATTTGGATGCCGTTATTGGTTCGGACTTCCATTGTCTAATATAATTTAAGAAATAGAGTTTTTGGCTTTCTACTACTCCATCTTGATACAAAAAATGTGGGAGTCTTCCAAGGAAATGTCGGAAACAATAATTTTCAGAAATCAACTCTATACAAAGATGCGTGGATCATGCAAAGAAGTAACTTTCAGACACAAACTGGAAGAAGAAGCCCCCTCGAAACAGCTAGTGTCATATAAACACTTTTCTCTCTATTTTCCAAACTATGATTCGAAATATATGAACTAACAAATAAAATCAAAATGAATAGCTGAAATATCAATTATACCTGTTAAGCAATAAAACGTGAAAAATGTAAATGACCACAGAGGAAAAAAATAAGGAAGAATTAAAATAAAAAGAAGCAAAAAATTAAAAAGATTTCAAACCAAAGTTACTTCACTTGGTTATCGATGTTCTTGCGATATGAACTTCCAGGATATTGCTTCTTCAAACAACTATATTCTGCACTGATATAAATCCAACTTAAATTGTATTTTCCCAAACACTTCTACGCCAAAGCGAAAACTCGATCGTATCGGTTTGGTTAGTTTTTTTCTTAAGATCGACCTTTTCTCCGTTCCTGTTTGATTCCATGAAAACCCAGTTTGTTATTGTTGCACTATGCTGTGTACATTTTCCTCCTGTCACCATTATAAACGAAAGAATGCGCTTTGATATTTCCCGGCAATACAGAGAGAATCGACCTTCTTATTTTGGATTAAAGTACCATCAAAATTGAAAAATCATGATTTATCGTGTAACTAAGTACGTATTAAGTGTTTCATGAGCTTAAGGAAACCCGAAACAACCTGTATCAATCCCCTTGTAATCTTTGAAATAAATCCAAAAGACAAGAACTCAGAAAGATGCATAGATGTTGTTTAAACCGATTCGCTGTTGTTTCGTCAAAAAATCTGGACGCTAGAAATGAAATTGACCCAACTTTGAACATAATATGTGAATAGCCGGAACAAGAATCGTTTCCAAATGTAAATATTGGTGTGCGCTTAGCGTCTCTTTGAATGGAATGCCGAAGTACGTTGGATCACTTTATTTTATGAAGAGTCAGGAGTGTTTTTGTCAAAATGTTTTATATAGGGAGGGGTCTGAGTGGTTACACCATGGTATTTCTAGGCAGCTTGGTAATCAGTATGCTCTGACGAACATTCACATGAATTGTTTATCTAAATATCACCCACTGTGGCTCCGATTACTATGGCAAATTTTTTATGCTGTTATCGGGCAGTAGCGATTTCAATCTTTAAAATCGAAAATGACACGTATCGTCAAACTCTTCTTGACGTATCACATGTCGATTCAATCGAATGAATAATTAAAATTCTCTTCAGTAAACTCGAATGTGTACATTAAACGCAATTTACGACTACATTAAAGTCACCGGTTTTGAAAAATTCCTCTAGCGCATGAGTTATGTGCATGTGAGTTTTTTTGTCGGGTTTTCTACAAGAGGACGAACGAACCAGTCGAGCTGTGTCTTTATTTCTCGCGACTGCCGTACGAAGAATCGATAATCGACCGTTAAAAACGGGCATAAGTCATTAGAGATGGTCGATGAAAATTCTCATCGACGCCAATGTCGAGTTTTATCTGTTCCAGTTGTTGGATTGTTTTGAGGTTTGATGCTGGGAACAGATTGTTGCACTCGTAGTGAGGAGTTGAGTTAATATACAGGGGAATCATAAGAGATACCTTTCATTTCAGAGAGTGTCATTTTAGAGAATTTTTTCACATACTGTTTCTATATTTTGAAAACTAAGTACAGTTTTTGACCCTTTATGAACAATAGTTTTTTATAAGGTGGATATATTATCGGCCGATTAAACACTTGAAAACGATATGTATTGTAATAAATTCTCGAAAAAATTAATAAAAAATAGGTTCACATTGCTGAGCCATGTAATACAAAATTTTGAAACGGCGTTAATTTTTTCTTATTTTGTCAAAACGACACTTCGAAAAGTAAGAGTTTTGTTTAAAATCAAACGTAATTGTATCAAGAGATATCTAGGAGTCCAAAGATTTTTTTCAGTTGTCATGATACGTAAAAACCCTGTTTTTGAAATAATCGTCTGTTTCTTGAAACACATTATTCTCAAAATGTGAAGAGGAATAACCCTCTGAAATTGAAGTTGTCATCTTTGACGTGTGTAACCGATATAGATAGAGCTAAAGACGTTTTACTTCAGTAGTGTGGTCTAAAGCACACTTGCTTTTTTGTATTTGTTTCGTTTTGAAAGACACTGAGAAAAACGAAGTTATTTTAATGAACTTGCAATAAATGAGCTTTTAAAAATGTTTTCATAACGGTTTAAGACGTTTTTTGGAAGACATTTTTAGGGGTCCCATGTTTCTAACTGCTTTTTATTGTAACTAATCTGCACAAAAATGTTATTGATATTTTCATCTTTTTCCTTCGAAAAGTTCACATTCTTTTTATAGTAATGGAAAACCGCAGAATCAGAAAAGATTTTTTCCTAAACAATAGTTTCCCCTAAAACTTTCCTTTTTTGTAAATGAGCCTTTTGTTTTATGTCTGGTTGGAGCAATAGGAGGATTGGGAACTGGATTCAACCTCCAAATGTCATTTGATGAGTTTTTTTTGCCGATATGAAAACGCATATCTCTGCAATTATTCTTTTCGATGACAGTCAGAATTTTCACCGTGTCTCCAACATTATAATTACTTTCATTACTAGAGGCCATGGCCACACAAGCACGCCTTATGAAACAGAAATCATCACGCCCAAATGTACATATGTTTATGAAACGGTAATTTTGATGAATGGCTATTGGGTAGTTTAAACGAATGTCACTTTTAAAAATACGGCCTGGGCCGTATTGCCGGCTTGGCTAGCCCACCAAGCCGCATAAATTTCAATAACAGTAAATCTTGCGAGTCTTTTCGGGAAATAAGGCTGTCCATTTAAAATTTGCATCGTCTGCGAAACGTATGTATATTATCATCTCGGAAAAAAATACGCCGCTTCCTTTTTTGCACTCATCTACAGGGCTTACCAGAAAGTACGCGTCCCATTAAAATATAAAAGTTTGAATGATTCTATAGAACCAGAATATAAAAAGGTCTTTGGATTCCAAATGACTCAACCATATTCCAGCTTAGAACAAACAATGGAGTTAAAGAGTAAACAAACAAGTATCGTGATTGAATTCACGGCTAGATCTAAAGACAAAGCTCATTTTTCGATAACATTCAGATACTAAATATTCGAGAGAAACTGAACACATCAGTTAAAATGATCCCGAGATCTTTCATCTCATTGATTCTCTGTAAATTGGTGTGATTAATGAAATAGTCCTTGATAGTGGGTAACTTCTTTCGTGTGATACTCATTATTTTGCATTTAACTTTGTTGAGAGATAGGTTAGATACTGAAAAGTAATTAGATAAAAAACTCTGTTTAAAATCTGTTTTTCCGTTAATCAGCTGTCGCCCCCATACGAACGACAACTCTCAGAAGTTGAGACACTTGTGCGAGCTAAGGACTAATGAGGTCTTACCTTTTAACGTGTGAATTCTAACACGGATAGATTATTGAGCTCATCTTGAAGCATGACAGACTCTTTTTCGCTTTCGATTCTTCTAAAAAGCTTGAGACATCGGCATATAGGAGAAATTGGGAATGCCTGATATGCCAAGAAACTTCATTAACAAATAATACGAAAAGAAGAGGTCCCAGCTTGTACAGACTATAGCTTCAATTGAGCGATGAATATACGTGAAACAACGAATTTTTCGATATTGCCACGCGACGGCCGATTCGGTCGCATATACAAAAAATATATTTCAAAACCATTACATATTGAATATAATTGTTGAGGAATGAAAAAAAAAGTATTTGCT